TAATACCAACCAAAACTGAGACCGCGGTGAGACCTTCTTGTTAGCTGCATTAGATCGCTTTTGTGTTAGTTTGCACAGGGCACTGTCAGAGCTCTATTGGTCCATTACACTGTAGGGGTGCTGTTTAATGTAATATCAGCATTGCACAGAACACCATGTAAACTTACTTAGGGGAGTCTAATGGGTGACAGGGTTGACTTCAGAATTAAGTGCGTGTGGTGGTGGGGGAAATCAAAGCATCATTGTAAACTTGTACTTCTCCAAACAGAACCAGGTTTATGAGGTTCATATCTCCGAGGGCAAGGTTTACATTCAGACCCAGAGCTCGCTGTCCCGGGCTCCTCAGCAGGCATCTGGAACATTATTGTGCGGTAAGTACCTCTCGCTAAACATTGCAGTGTTTCGCTGTTAAGTATGAAGTGTTCATCGTTCATTTAGCGTCAGGAGGACATCTGAAAACGCTTCATATAATTGACTGGGCACCCAAGTGGGAGGGGAGAAAGATGACAAAATCACGTTCGAAAATATAGCAGGCGTATCAATGTGTTTCCTTTTTTTTCTTTACATAGAGAGATTCTCCTTGAAGTCTCTGACTACTACAAGTTCTGAGGATTCCCTCTGTTACTGGGCTGTGAAGATCCTCTGTACATCAGACGCTGAGGAGAAGGTGAGGTCCAGAGGAAGAGGGAAGTGTTCATGAGCAGTCAGGAATTATCAAGGAAAATCGAACCTCTGCTCGTCTGCTGATTTTGGGACTTTTTGACATAGGAGGGGGGGGGGGTTTGAATTGTTTTGAATTCTTATTATTTTCACACACACTCTCCCCTTCTCCCCCTGGACACAGGTAACCCTGACAGACCAAGTGGAGAAGTGGTGGACCTCAGGTAAAATCAGAGAGGTTGGCCATGGAGATGTCCCACCACAGCCCAGCAGACAGGAGAACCTCAAGGTGCTGCAGCCGGGCAGGATCAAGAGGGGCAAAGGTGGCACCCTGGTTAGTAAGAGGCACTCTGGATATTGCTCTGAGCTGGGGGTGGGTGGGAGATGAGCGCAGCATGTTTGCTGACTAGTTCAAATTGGCCGAAGAACCTTCTTCACCCAACCTTCTCTCGTAATGTCTAAGACAGTCCCTCCCCAATACACCTCCGAGTTGACTGATGTGGTTGTGTGGACTAACCTGCCTCGGTGGGGCTTGTGTATTTCCCAGGCCAGCCGGATAGCGTTGCTGCATTCACTTGCCAACATCGAGCAGTGGGCTATAGACCTCTCGTGGGACATCATCGCTCGCTTTTCCATGGTGAAGCTGAAGAATGGGCGGTCATTGCCCCTAGAATTCTTCAGCGACTTTGTTAGAGTGGCGGGAGAGGAGGCCAAGGTCAGACCAGACTGCTCCCATTGGTTTTAAATTGAATCCGTTTCCTCCAGAGTCTCTGCAGCTGCATATTCATTGAATCTTCTCTTTGATTTTCAGCATTACAAGCTGTTGGCGAACAGGATCAAGGAGCTGGGCAGTTATTTTGGAGCACTACCGGTACATAACGGTCAGCCAGCTCACTGTCAGCCTGTGTAAATCCTCGGGTCCTCCCGCTCTGATCAGAGATCGTTTCACAAAACCCATCATTGCCTAAGAAAACCTGAGAAATTAAGGAATCCCGAGAATCTGATAAATTCCTTCCAGTATTGTAAATACTTACTGCATTGACCCCCGGCAACGCTGTTCTGGCAAGATTCAATAATATCCCATAATAATCCTTACATGCTGTAAAGCGCCTTTCACATCAGGGGGATGTCTCAAAGCGCTTCACAGGATTTACTGTGTATTTTGTAGGCGAACAATCTATACCGCAAATCGCATCTCAATTTCCACGATTGTGCATGGGGGATGTTGTGTGTTTTTATTTTTTAATTTTGTTTGTAACAAACACAATTTTCTAATTGTGTGAATTCATTTCATCAGGTTTGTGGCAGTCGGCGTCTGACACGGCCAGTGACTTATTGGCACGACTTGCCATTGTACACATGGTGCATGAAGCCAGGTAATGAATATTTCTTAACTGGGTCAAGTATTTACCTTATAGCATCCCCCCTTCCCCCCCCCCCCCCCCCATTGAATATTTCCCAATAGTGGTCTCCATTTCCTCTGCATTAACACCATCTCTGTAACCTGTGCCTCACTAATTGAATGGCAGGAATTGGCGAGTTGCCCACTATTATCTCCCCAGAATCACTGTCCCTCTGTTTCCTGGTTCCAACTGTTGATGTGGTTGAGATTAAGAAGATTGATAATCATTTCAGTATGATGAATGTATATCCTTAATACTGATCTGGTCTGAAGGTCAATATTAAGGATATACATTCCTTAACACTGACATATAAGGTCTGAATGGCCAGGTGCACTGTGTTGTGTCTGTGTGGGTTTAACATGTTTGAAATCTGCATTTTCCCTTTGTACCTGATTGCTCATTAGTTTTTAAAACTCTGGCAACTGTGTGTGTGTATATATACTGTCTGCAGCTGTTGAAAGTAATGCCAATGGTGTGGTTTGCAGGGAGCCTATTGGTAATACAGTAAAATAAGATCAGGACAGACAGCTGCACAGTAAGGCCATAAATGAGAAGTGGTGAATGATAAATTTAGAAGCAACATTAGGAAATATTCATTACTCAATTATAACTGCTTTGAAACAATTTACCAAGCAAGGCAAAAGACTCTGGGTGTGCACTGATGGAAGAATCGATGTAGTAATAATAATCCTTGCATTTGATATAGCACCTTATCACGTCGTTGAGACGTCTCAAAGTGCTTTACAGAATATATTGTAAAGTGAATTAACTGTGTATTTTGTGGGCGAAATATACAATGTACTGGTGGGACGGGCTTTATTGAGATGAATTGTCTTTCCTCGGTCCTGACCTCTGTGTTGCTGTCTCTGAAGGGGTTTAGACGTGCACCCTCAGATGCTGGCTCGCTTTGCGGCGCAGGCAGACCAGAGCTCTGTGAGGCTTCTCGAGATTATCTACAGGGATGAAATCACACACGTGGCGACAGGCTTGAGGTGGTTCACTTACATCTGCTCAGAAGAAGAAAAGGTGCAATGCCCGATTCTCATATTAGTCTAGAGCTGCTGTGTGCAGCTTCTTCGTATTAAGCATTTGCCTCTGAATTATATGCTCTTAATTGTCCTTATTCACAAAGGAACTAAGGTGGAGGTTGTGTGGTGGGGGAGTGGGGAGGGCTACTCCTTTTCCTTCCCTACTGTAAATTTGATTGCTCTACAATCAGAGCCAACACTAAATCAAAACCCTTCTCTGTGACTGTGCCTCGCTCAGTGTCCTTATGCACCACACCCTTAAATTCTCCCTGACTCTTTCCTCCCTCTTTGTGAAGCAATTCCAGACATTTGCCCTACATGAAATGTGTTAATTGACATTAAAACAAACTCTTTCCCCAGGACACCTTGGCCACATTTCACAATCTGGTCCGGACCTATTTTAAAGGCTACTTAAAGCCCCCTTTCAACACAGAAGGAAGAAAAATAGCTGGAATGAGTGAACAAGTGAGTTTGGCGTGATCTATTCTGAACCTTAATTGCCTACCCAGACAGATTTTCAATTGTGGCAAAAATATTTCACTGCTTTCTCTGAAATCTCTTAATTGTGCTTCTTTTTTTTAAATTCCAGTGGTATCTGCCTTTGATCAAACCATCTCAATCAGAACTTGGGAGTGGTGTTCCCTGAACCAGCACAGCGTTGTTGCAGAGAACTTTACATTGTGACACTGCAATCATCCCTCTCACTGCCTGGATTTTCCTCTTTCGTGCAATGTGTTCAATAAGCTGATGCCCTCCCTTGGCTGAAACCAAGAACTGCCCTGGGAAACTTTCCCACTCAAGTCACTTTCTGTATAAAATCACTGCCTATTGTTTGTCCCTCAGGGCTCTGTCCTCGGTCCCCTCCTCTTCACCCTCTACATGCTCCCCCTTGGTGACATCATCCGCAGACATGGGGTTAACTTCCACATGTATGCGGATGACACCCAACTCTACCTTTCCTCCTCTACCCTCAACTCCACGACCACCGATGTCCTGACAGCTGTCTGTCTGACATCGAGTCCTGGACGAGAGATAACCTTCTCTAGCTCAACGTACGCAAAACTGAGGCCCTCCTGATTGGCTCACGTCAGCGCCTCCGCACCTCAGGCGCTGACAGCATCAGCATCCAAGGCTGCACTCTCCACCTCTCAAAGCCATCAGGAACCTCGGGGTTCTGTTCGACCCTGAGCTGTCCTTTCTCCCCCATATCCGCACCACAACTGGCACCGCCTTCCATCACCTCCGGAATGTCGCCAGACTACGGCACTACCTCACCCCTCACGCGGCTGAAACTCTGGTCCACGCCTTTATCACCTCAAGGCTGGACTATGGGAACTCTCTCCTCGCCGGCCTTCCCGGCACCTCCCTCCACACTGCAGGTCATTCAGAACTCTGCAGCTCGTGTACTGTCCCGCACCAGACACCGGACCACATCACTCCCACCCTCGCTCGCCTCCACTGGCTCCCCATCCCCCAGAGGATCGAATTCAAGATCCTCATCCTCACCTACAAGGCCATTCACGGCCTCGCTCCCTCCTACCTCTCCGACCTACTATCCCCCTACCTACCCGCCCGTACCCTCCGTTCCTCTGGCTCCGGTCTGCTCCACATCCCCCGCCCCAACCGCCCTACTATCGGTGGCCGGGCCTTCAGCCTCTCAGCCCCTAGGCTCTGGAACTCTATCCCCCAGTGCCTTCGCCGCCTCCTCCCTTTCCTCCTTCAAGGCCGGTCTCAAGACCTTTCTCTTTGACCGTGCCTTCAGCTCCCCTCTCGACTCTCTACCCCCTCCTCGCTCCCTCCCTTCACCCTGACCATTTCCCCCTGCTCGGGTCCTGACCCAACTGTACAGCGCCTTGGGACGTCCTCCCGACGTGAAAGGCACTCTATAAATGGAATCTTGTTGTTGTTGTTGTTTGTCAACCTTGTCAATCATGTAATGGAGGATTAACCATTCATTTTTGCCCGTTTACAGTCCTTCCCTCCCTCCAAAGATATAATAACTGAATGTGACCTGTGTTCATTTTAAAACGTTTCCATCTTGTAAGTAAAATTAAATGTTGTGCTGTAGTCCTATGTCTCTTTACCACCAGCAGTTTTCACTCTCACAGGGACATTGCAGGTGTTCCCTCGACACCCCAGCCTTTAGGTCTGGATTTGAAAACCAGGTCAGTCTCAGCGTGTTTCACACAGCAACACAGTCTTCCATTTGAAAGGAATGTTGCGTGCATGTTGCATTGGTGCTTAAGTGCTGGGCGAGGCTCCATCTCAGGTTGTAGGAAGGCTTAATCCAAGTAGCCTGAGGCCCAATGAGGTGCAATATTGATTTCAAGCTTGCAGTCGCTTTGAAGTTTTCTGTCTAAGTCCCACCGTCCTGACTGTACTTCAGATTCACAAAGTGATCGGATCAATTTTTTTTATATAAAAATAATTACGCTTAGAGAAACACTTCAAAGCAGTTGCAATATACGTTTCCTTCGGTTATCGATGAGTGGCGACCCAGTTCCTTTTGGCTCGTTTTGCCAGACTTTGTTCTGGTTTGTGCGTTTGAAACCGCCACACGTTGTGATCATTTGTCCTTTCCTGAAAGTACCGATGGAGGTAGCCATTGTAAAAGTCAGCTGCAGACAGCTTCTTCTTGAGAACCACCAGCCTGAAACCCACCCAATCATCCTACAGAAAGAAAAGCAACGAGTAAATAATCTTGTTTACGTTTACAGTACAATCTTGTGCAAAGAGAAACCGGCACCAGCCTCATGAGTGAATTCCTCACCGCCACAGTACTGCACACCAGACGCAGTGAATAGGTATAACCTGTTTGTACCTTGTTCTTAATGCTATGCAGCGAGGTGAAGGTTAAGAAGAAGGTGACCCACTTCTTATTCCCAACACTAAGATCTGTCATATCCTCCACTTATTAGTCAATCCTAAAACTTTTTGTGAGTCAAATTCATAGTAGCAATTAACTGATTCCTTACTTAATAGCATTTATGTAACTCAGTATACTTTGAGACGTCTGGAAGATGTGAAAAGCGCTATATCTAATGCAAGGATTATTAGTATATATGGACAGATCACACAGGTATGTGAACTACTGAGATCACAAACACTGATCAGAGTGCAGATGTTTAGAGGTGAACTCTAGAAATCTCAAGAGCAGGATTGGATTCAGCGCTGTGCCTGACTGGGGCTGTTCAATGATTTGCCTGTACCTTGCAGCGTACCAGCAGGATGTTCGATTCTTTATGGAACTGGATGGTGCCAGGAATTGACTGCTGTGTCACAGCTACAGAAAGCAAAACAAAAAAATTAGTCGGATTATTGAATTACAATAAATCACAGCTTCAAGCTATTTTCCTTGTGCTTTAAGCACAGGTGGGATTTGTTGCATTACAACAACAACGCAGACTTTCTACTAACGAGCAAAAAGGCATGTCTCACACTGAATTTTACATGTCTTTGAGGCAACAGTGATACTCTGCACTTCAAATAAGAAGACAAAGTAACCATCATTCGAAAGGAACCTGGAATAGGTCCCATAACTGATTGTGTTTGGTATATTTACCTATTCACAAGTGTTTGCAGAATGGGCTTCATTGCTGAATTCTTATTATTTCTTGTGAATGAATCAGACATTCATATGCTTTAAACTGAGCACCTCCATTAGTTTGGCTGCCCTTTACAGTTCCATGTACTTCTATTTAAAACTTAAAAATGCCTCAAGAAGTACAATTAATTTTCGTGCAAATCAAGCGATTCTCGATTGCTCAAAACTCACATTTTGAAACGCAGACTAAAATCCATCGGATTAAGAAAATTCAGCCCTCAGTTCCCATTTCAATTTGGCAGCTGCAACTCCCGAAACACACAAAATCTACCTGGGAAAAGGGGAAGGTCGCGCAAGTCCACAAAATCCAAGAGCTTCACTGTGTTTCCCATCCACAGAGTCCGCAGGGGAACCTAGAGCAACAGCAAAACATCAGGGAGATTGCCAACCACCCAACCTGGCCTCAGAGTCTAGGCTAACAATTTTATTTGGAAATCTGTGCACCTTATTGAGAAACACCAATAATTCCAGCGTCTGTCAGTTGGATTTTTCACACAATGATAGAACAGCTATGGTTTACAGAACCTCTTCCCCTAGTTTTTTTTTCATTGTCCATTTGTTTTTTCCTTCCTGTCTCATTGCCTCCACCCTGCTCCATTCCCTGGGCTACAGAATTAGCAGGTATTTAAGTCTTTACCCTCCGACCTGCTGAAGGACAGCCTAGATTGGGGCAAATGTCCACCGAAGGATGACGCTGACGAGGATCGAAGATTACTGTCCCCAGGGCACCCACTGAACCAGGCCTGAGAGCAGAAAGCTAACCATAAAATAGTAGATAGATTGATAAGAAGTTTTATGAGACAAAAATTCCAAATACAATAATTCCCTTCTCTGATACACACTTGAATCAACATTGCCATAGCAGTAAAATGATAAAATTCACCAAAATTAGTTTCTTACACTGAAATCCCCAGAGCACTTACTCTGCAACTTATTGCTCGGTTCAGTCTGTCCAGTTCCTCTGATGTCTGTTCCTCCCAGTTCACCCAGCTCATTGCAATATTGATCTTTGGAGCTGGAAACAAAGATAATGGGTAATGAGATCAGTTCCTTTTGCACAATGATTATTATTTTGAGTTTTCGTAAAACACATCAACAGCTCTCTATGCTAGGAACGGCCACAGGCATCCATCCACTCCCTGCCTCTTTGTTAACACCCACCAATAATGATCCATTAGAACTAGCGCAAGTTTCTTGAGTATCAGCTGAAACTCACCAAATGTGGCTCCTTTCTTGGACTGTTCCCTGCTATTCTCAATGCATTCGGGTAGCTTTTTCAATGTCGCCAGGAGCTGAAACACAATGAATCCACATAAGATTACACTGGAAAGACTGGCTTGTGTGCACGGCTTCATAAACTCAGCAAATATTAAGCACAGAATGTAAAATGTCTCAAAGCTCTTCACAGGATTTACTGTAGTATGCATTGACTGTACATTTGTAGGAAAATTATGAGGTCGACCAGTCAGAAAGACCTACTTCGCCTGAAACTGTTGTGTGATCTTGGTGCAACCTCAAAGAATGGTCTTTATGTATTTTAATTCATGTGAGCCTTTGGTATTTTGAAATATTAAGGACGGGTGCCTACACAGAATCCCAAAGGTAACTGCTTACCATGTCAGCACCAGCCTCTGCCAACATCACCCCTAGCTCGTTGGCTGTGCACCGTGTGGGTACAGCGCATTCCTTCTGCATTACTATGGGGCCAACATCAAACCTGTGTAGATGATACAGTATGTCAACGCATTTTCAGATCAATCAAATCAATTCAGACTTTGAACAACTAGCAATAGCTGAAGCATTGAAAACAGGGTTTAACAACAACAGGCTCTTATTAACAGGTGCATCTCAGTGATTTTCCTTTGTCTGTTGAATGGACTCTTATGTTAAAAATTGGTTTCTTGGGAGAAAGGAAATCTCATTCGTTGACCTCTTTATCTACTTGTTCTCAGCGGCTCGTGGCATTACTAGTCTCTGAATAGGTAAAGGTACCTTTTTGGTCTGATCTGCATGATCGTCACGCCAGTCACCTGATCGCCATGAAGTACGGTGTGAAACACAGGAGCAGGTCCCCTCCATCTCGGAAGAAGACTTGGATGTACGTTTAATATTCCGCTGGGGACAAGAGAGAGACCGCATTAAAAACGAGCAATAAAAATACAGACAGAAAGCAGCTTGAATAAGCGTACGCACAAAGTGTAAAACAAACTATATCTGGAAAGGGCAAGAGCTGTGGCCCAGTAACTGTGATTCCAGCCGTATTAAGTTCCAATGGCTCACTGTCCTTCAGCAGATCCTTTTCCAGATCCTCGTCATCGCATTTCAACTCCCTCCACTCCCTCGTTCTATCCTCTCAGTCCATTTTTTTCCATAACCAATTCCCATCCACACATTTAGATTGTTCCTCAGTCCCTGGCTCCATTATCAGAGGCCAACCTTTCAGCACCACATTCTTTCCTTGTGGCACTTCTTTCCCATACTTTGCCTCACTTACTCCGTCTCTGCTTTTTAAAACATAAAGACCCATTTGTTTGATTGTGCCTTCAGTTGCTTCTAAATTCCTTTTACTTTATCCTCGGCGTTCCTCTAAATCACTTTGATGACAAGAATTTTAACATGTTGTTGTAAATAAATTGACAAGTCACAATCAGAAACGTACGTTGTTGTACCTATGTTTGGAATAGAGTGTCTTTTTTAACAGGAAAAGGTGATACAGAAAAGACAGTTACTTACTATGGAAACCGGAGAATAAGTTCCTCACTGAGCAAACTCCCAAACGACACGACCACTCCAACGTCAAAGTCATTGCACTGTCCTAGGTCTGGCCAATCATGGATGGGAATGTCACTCTGACTCGCGTATTTCCTCACTGGGAGTTTACTGGGATAACCAGCTGACAAAGTCACGACTTCCAGCCTGTCTATCAGCACCTCACCGGTCTCCAAATGCCTGCGGAAAAACACATGCATCGTTGAGATCCAGAGCCAGAAACAGTGGGAATTGTCAAAAGTCATTCATCAGATTTTCTTTCGTTCGGACAGATGGAAAACCAGCACCGTGCTCAAGAGGCTCCAAACCAGGTGATTTGAGGATTCAACGCATGCAGGTGAATCTCTATCTGTCTAGAATTGCGTGTCCGCTCATTCCTTGAGAGACGCGCCCTGCTCCCGGAATGTTTAGGCGCAGATCGGCAAGAGCGGAGGCTTGGGAGATTCCAGCACGTGTGTTGGGAGGTGGTGGGAGAGAGAGCGAGAGAGAACTAATGGGAGTTTGTTCCAGCCAAATGGGTGTTGCTTCCCATTGTGAACGCCTAAGGTGCTCGCGACGTGAAAGGCGGCACTGTACAAATGTAGTTTGTTGTTGTTGCTGTGGTGGTGGTGCACACCGCCTGGCACTGCCTTATCCAACCACAAACCACCCAACGCAACGGGGGCTTTGGCTTTGCAGTGTTAACAGAAACCGAGTAGAAAGAATCGCAACCCCCGCACCCCCCCCCCCCCAGTGACAGTCAGGTTAAAATCTCTGGAGGCCCAGTGGTTTACAGGTCCAGCCCCTGACCCCCAGCCCCCCTGACGCCCAGCCCGACCCCCCAGCCCCTGACCCCAGCCCCCTGACCCCCAGCCCCAGACCCCCAGCCCCTGACCCCCAGCCCCCCTGACCCCCAGCCCCTGACCCCAGCCCCCAGCCCCCCTGACCCCCAGCCCCCCTGACCCCCAACCCCAGACCCCCACAGCCCCAAATCCCCTCAGCCCCTGACCCGCAGCCCCCCAGACCCAGACCCCCTGACCCCCAGCCCCCTGACCCCCAGCCCCTGACCCCCAGCACCTTGACCGGTGCAGCTTCTGCAGAGACTCCAAGGCGAAGGTGTCGGTTCCGAAGAACAGGATTCTCCAGGGAGGGCGGGCGGGGGCGGGGGCGGGGGCTCCATCCCCGGCCGATAAACTGCTCCCAAAGCCCCGGCCGCTGCCCAAACGGCTGTTGGTCCCTCGGAGAAACCTGGGGACTAAACCCCACATTTCTGGGGTGGGAGGAGTGAGGGGGTGAGGGGGGGGAGAGGGCGGGAAGCGAGACCCCCCCACCGGGGCTTTCCGCCTCAGAGACCCCTCGCAAAGAGCCGCGAGTCTCCCCCCGACATATCTCCGCGGGAACACGGCTGTTTGACGTGAGGTGTGTGTGCGCCGCTCTCTCTCTCTCTCTTCCCCCTCAAGAGGTCCGGACCGCGGGCGCCGCCATCTTTGACCACGTCGGTCCCACCGGCAATACCTTCCCCTCCGCTCCTCCGCCGCTCCTCCGCTCCGCCGCCAACTCAGCCCCGAGCGATCGGTTCCGGGGACGAGAGAGGTGGTCAGATTGTGGGGTGGGGTCCTGTGGCCCCAATGGCCCCAATGTTTTCGTTTGTTAATTAATTAATTAATTAACCCCCCCCCCCCCCAGACTCTGGGTCGGTGTCGGTGTTTAATTTATGACCCCCTCCCCCCTCCCCTCCCCCCTCCTCCACCCCCTCCCCTCCCCCTCCCCAGTTTACACCGGCGCAAAACTTCCTCCCGCCCCCTCCGAGGACCCTGTCGCCCACCCTCGAAAGGGAGAGCGCGCCGACGCTTCCCGGGTCCGCGAGCCCCTCCGTGGGAACCGGCCCGAGACCTTGGCCCGCGCCCCTTCCTCCGCCCCCGCGCCCCCTGACCCCGCCCGGGTCTCCCCGGCCACTGCTGTATTGGCGCTCGGGGTCGACGAGCGTCAAGCAGCAATTTGGCCCTTTGTGACTATGGGGGGGGGGGGGGGGGGCTACTGTTTTTTTTGGGGGCGACTTTTAGGTCCACGAAACCAATTTTCGGAGCGCGATTGGGTTCGGAGGGCACGAAGGGGCCAAATCTCCTGTTGTCTCACTGTTGAACCACGACCCCACTGGGATCTTGCAACGTGTTGCGTAAAAAGCCGCACAGGAGGGCGCTCGCGGGCCCTGAATTGATGCATTCAGACCAGACGTTCTCCTCGTTTCCAAAATCGATCCGCAGGATCGTCCGCAGCCTATAATAAAGAGTGAATCTATTTTAACAACAACAACAACAACAACAAGATTCCATTTATAAAGCGCCTTTCACGTCAGGAGGACGTCCCAAGGCGCTGCACAGTTGGGTTTAAGACGCCGTAGCATGATTCGAGGGACTGTGCCGCGGTCCTGTAGTTCAAGGAACCCGCCCTTCCGGCACCGATTCAAATGCAAGGATTAGTGTTATTGCAATAGCAAGCGGCAACAGGTTCGCGTGGAATTTGGAGTGGCGTCTCGGACTTTGCAACTCTTCCACAAGCGGTCGGATCTCGCCGCGCGCAAGAAAAATCGACGTTCGAGAAAGTCAACAGAAGCAGGCGGGAGCCAAGAATAAAAAAAAATCCCCCGGATATTCGTTCGTTTTTAATTCTTTGCAAGTAGCATTTACAGGGAGGTTTCCCAATGAAAAGGCTGCACTGTGTGGTTACCCTGTGCGGAGAAAAAAAAAGCACTTTTTCAATAGGTTTACTTGTTGGACGTTGTTCACGGTCGTTCCTCCTGTGGTGATCACACAGTGAACCCAGGATGTCAGACCAGTCCTTACAGAAATGCAGATGCTGGCTTTTTTGGGGGGCAGCCAAGATACCCGCGGAAACCCGTCGCCTTGCTTAAGAGCCTGAGAGTTCCACATGTGTTTGCCACGTACACATGCAGGTGCTGGCTCTGATCTTAAGAGAAATCGGTGGAGCCCAGATTGAAGCTCTGCACTTTGCAAGAGCTGCCTCTCCTTCTTACGGTACTTTGCCTACAAATACAAAGTCACTACACTTTACAGGAAAAAAACCGTAATCAGGCACCCGTGTGATCTTATTTTATTCACGCAAAACGAAAGGGAGAATTCCAAACACTGCTGTCAGCGGTTTATCTTCACTCAAAGAGCCTAAAAAGCGGAGGTGGAAGAGGAATCCGGGGGAAAGAAAGACTTATCTGTTGCTATCAGGTTACATGGCATGTACCCAATCAATGTTCCATTGACAGAGACAAAGACCACAGCAACCAATAAAGTCATAAAAGTTTTATTAGCTGAGATACTTTAAATAAGATTACCTGAGAAAGTTATCTGAACACACAAAATAAACCCAATCAAACATAATAAATGAACTCCACCATCTTCAAAACCACAGACCTGAAAGCTAAGCACGGGATCTGGGAATCCCATTGGTTGTAGTGCTGGCTCAGTGTCTCCCCCTGTAATTAACCATCAGACATTCTTTTTCTATCCTTTCTAGGACTCACTGTGGTTGGCAGTTTCTCCCCATTCTCTTACCCAATTTTGATGGTCATCCTCTCAGACCACAGAGTCCACAGTCTGATCAGGCTTTAGGTTTCAGGGTTCAGTTAGGCTAAGTACTGGGGATAATGGTGCATTGCCTTATCGTGATCAAACACTCCTATATTTCATAAGACCTGGGTCGCAATCCATGCCTGCAATTGCTCTCCGCTTCACTCGGCTCTAAGACTACTTCATTATAAAAATAAGAATAATCCTTGCATTTGATATAGCCCTGTATCACGTCATTGTGACTTCCCAAGGAATATAGTCCATGCACCAAGACTTTATTTGAACTAAGTTTAATGAACCCATCATTGTTGTTTTGCAATATACAGGATTTGAATCATGTAATGTGGCACTTTTCCTTTCTCAGTGAAGAAACGGATGGAATCTACCAGTGACAAAGTCTGTTATGGGACAAACCGTGTTAATTCTCCCGAAACAGCTCGATCCAAGGATTTCTGTTCGTAAGATGGTTTCAAACAGTAAGAAATACTTTACGACATTGCAACATTCAGTGAATGAAACTGACAAGAAGCCAACAGCAATATGACTGGGAGTTTCATAAAACCTGTTTAAACAGTGCCGTGGGGACTGAGAAAGTGAGTGCAACATTGGACGAAGGCTTTCATAATGACATGGAGAGCTTCAATACCATCATAGTTACAGGGCGGGAAAGATAGTGCAGATCTTGGCAACAGGCTGATTTAGTGATTGATCACAGACAGTAATTTCATAACAAAGTAAAGCGTGAGCTACTAGCCACCGCAATTGAGCCTTGCTGTCCTCCAGCAGTGCCTCTCGCTGACCTACTATACATCCAGTCAATAAGAAGCAGTTTCCGTGCTGAATCACACTAACAGTGCAACATCGATCAGTTATGATATTGCACAGTATGATCCTGGACAGGATGCAGTGATAAGGCACAGACTGGTTCAGCACAGTGTGCTGGTTACGGTACAGTATGGTGTGGCACAGACAGTTTTAAAATGACCTCCCTGAGTTTTTGGAACCGTCCATAAAACTTGGTTGTACAACCATTGGAATGGGAAAGTCCCAAAATCTACAATTCTCTCACCTAAAAGGCTGTGGATGCTGAATCTATTCAAATTTTTAAGACTGAGGTGGATAGATTTTATTTGGTCAGGGTATCGAGGGATATGGGGCAAAGGCGGGTAATTGGAGTTGAGGCACAGATCAGCCATGATCTAATGGAATAATGCAACAGATTTGAGGGGCTGAATGGCCTACTCTTGTTCCTATGTTCCTAAAGAATGGGTTTGAAGCAGAGATGGGAAGTGCATTCGAGTCTGTAAAAGCAGATGCCCTGACAACTCCAATCTGAAGCAGTTTCCTGGCTTTAGAGGTGTGCAGTTCATTCTGAAACGTATTTATAGCCAGTTTGTTTATTTATATTTACAGGTGATTCGGTAATGTGTTATGGTTTCACAGTCGCATCTATGAACCACTGATGGACTTGCTCCTTGTTCTTGGAGACCCACTGTATGTTGGCTTTCGTTTTCTCCAGAGCCTGCTCGAGAGCACGCGTTCCTGATCCAAAGCCAATATCCTCATTGTCTTTCTTAAACTGTTCCAGCTGCAGAGTACAACAGCACAGAGGTAATGAGCTCAGAGGCAACAGCTAAGACCTTGAATTCCTCGCGGCCCAGTGACCGAATCCGCTTCAAATCTCACCGATTTGAGAGGCCGTTTTGCGCAGTGCTTTTTAAGAATTCCTGAATTAAGGCAGAATTATCCTGAGATACTTTGTGATCCTGAATCTCGAAACACGTCACAGGATTTACTGTCAAATGTAAGCGTCCGTGTAGTTTGCAGGGAAAGGCGAACGTATTAACATTGAATTAAACCTGATGGGTGCTCAGTGAGCTGTGAGAGAGTAGCTGGCTCTGTCAAAATAGCGTCAAGATTTGTTAAGGGAGAGAAGCAAGCCAGGTTAGGCTAACTGAGTGAAAGAACTGAGTTAGCGAGTGCTGGGAGAGATTGAAGCACCTGAGGGTGGCTCATCTTAACTGAAGGAAACACCTGGAGGAATAAGTTGATCACAAACCTGCTGCAGTTCAAATTCCGATGAAAATCGTTTCGTCACCCCGTCTATCAGCGAGGAGAATGAGAATGAGCCCCCACCGTACCTGGAGTGAGAGAGAGTGAGAGAGAGAGAGAGAGAGTGAGAGAGAGAGAGAGAGAGTGAGAGAGAAAGAAGAGCAATGTTACAAGGCACTTTTAAAATGTTATAAGACTCTCGCACAGAGCTCAAGCCTTGCCTCTTGCCTGAAAGTGCGCCTGAATTTCCTGGGATTCAGTGAACTCCGTACTGGGAGAGAGTGTGCACTCCGTGCCAGACAATTGGAGATTTTTGTACATATGAGAAGCTCTTAGTAGTTTGAAGAAGTGATGGTTTCCCTCGCATCATGTTTGACACCTGGTAGCCCCCCCGCCCACCAAAAAACATTCTCACAAACCCAATAGCCACGAGCGGAGATGTGTTGCTAGCTGCATTGTGAGGGAGTTGACAATTCGGTGCGAGATTGATGCAGGATATTAGTGCAGGAGCTCCATACTCACTGTTCAAATATAAAATTCCATTTCGCACGAACAAAATTCCAGGCCAGAGGCTGTCCTACCACATTGTTCGCAATGTACCCAATGGTGGAGGTGGCATCTTGTTTTCTAATTTTTTCTGAGTCCAAAGTATAGTCAAGATACCTTTAGCAAGGAAAACACTTCATGAAGTGGGTACAGGTTCTCCAATTCCTCCCTCCCACCCCCTTCTTTCCTGGAGGCTTTTTACTCCTTTTTCTTTCTACAGGAGTTCCCCGACCACATGTGCCAGGAGCTCTCTGAAACCATGCTCGTTCATGTGTGTACAAGACATTGGGAGGTGATTGTAGTTAATAGTAATCCTTGTATTTGATACTGCGCCTTATCACTTTGTTGTGACATCTCAAAGCACTTCATAGAATATGAATTTTGAGGGCGAAACACGACATCCAATTGTGCACAGCTGTGTCCCACAGATAGTTGTGGATTGAGTGACCAATTTTTTTTAGTTTGTTTTTGGAGGGATTATTACACCCAGAAAGTGATCCGCCAATAAACTAACAACCAGGTTCCTACTTACTGCTGGGTATACAGAGAGGTGTTGGATAAGGAAACTAGCCTAAGGTTTCACCCCACCTGGGAATCAAACCCAGGTCCTCACGCTTGCGAGACGAGTGCGCTAACCACTACGCTACAGGACTCCAATAGTTGGGACAGAATCATAACTTTGATACCTCCTTTAACAACACAGCCTCTTATTAAGACATACAAATGGCACACACTCTGAATGCTTGCTGCTCAGGGTCTTGCAAGTTCCTATTCTCTCTACTCACCGCTGGAGTATCCACGGTTCCTTACTGCATGCCATGGCTGAACGCAGTTTGGCTTCTTCAGTAGCAATAGTGGCCGACTTAAACATTTTCCACGCAAATTCCCACTCTTCCTCTCCCCCAAGGGCTATGGCATTGCAGTAGACTGTTGTCTTCAGGTTCAGAGGAATCCTGTAGGCAGAGTTCCCACATAAAATGGAATCATTATAATATTAATAATCCTTGCATTTGATATTGCACCTTATCACTTCATTGACACGTTTCACCAAGTGCTTCACAGAATATATTATGAAGTGGATAGACTGAAATGCACCAACTAATTGCACACAGCGATATCCTACAAACAGTCGTGGATTGAGTGGCCATATTTTTTGGGGGGAGGCATTATTACCACTAATCAACTAACATCTGGGTTCCTACTTACTGCTAAGTAAACAGAGGCCAGTGGATAAGGAAACTTGTCTAATGTTTCGCCCTCCCAGGAATTGAATCCGGGTCCTCTCGCTTGCGAGGTGAGTGCTCTAACCAATACTCTACAGGACTCCACAAGTCAATATCATTGCTTTTGGTGCAATACTGCCATTAAAATCTCTTGTTATTCAGGGTTACTCACGAGTTGTTGCTGGAGTTGTTCATCCATTGCTTGTAATAGTTGACGGCTATTGTCTGACACTCTTCGAGCCCATATGTACATGCTGCGCTCAGAGCATTCACCTCATTGTATCTGGAATATTAAAACAGGTGATAGGTGCTTAAAGGTTCCTGGGCAATTTATCAAGAGATTCTTAAAAGATCTTCTAAAGGAGCAGATTGAATGTTTCCAAGCAGTTTGAACACTGGCTCATTATATCTACTCTGCCCTTTGATAGTGCTCCTGCCTTGGGTTTATTAAAGACATCAGGAATCAATACTCATAAACAGAGAGAGAGAGAGAGAGAGAGAGAGAGAAACAATATCATTCAAACCAGTTACTTACTGCTCCTGGTGACCTTCTGAAGGAACGGTCCAGTTTTCTGTCTTGACTTTAAAGTGGTTGTACAATGGAGTCGTTTGTTGCCTCATGTAATTCTGTTATGAACAGATTAGTGTCATTCCAATTGAAACGCACACAAAATATGGCCCCAAATACATTCTCCCAACAACAAACATTAAATAGCACTGCTCACGTAATTGAGTGTCTCGAAGCATTTCGGAAAATGAGATTAATTTGACAATGACGTGAATGTTTTTTTGTAAGAAAATGCAGTTGGGTTAATCCCAATGGTGTAGTGGATAGAGCTACAGTTGCCAGCCCCAGTTTGAATCCCAGTCAATGCTGAGTTTGCTGGTCTAAGTGGGGGCTTGGATGGAAAGGCTAATTTGACTCTTGCCTTCCCGGGGTTAGGGAGGATGGGAAGCAGCCAGGGATCCTGCTCAGTTGGTGACATTCTTGCACCCGAGTTGGAAGGCTATGGGTTCAAGCCCAAATCGGGACTTTGAACTCTAGACTGACACTCCAGTGCCAGTGGTGTGGGGAGATGCTGCATTGTCAATATCGCTCTCCTTTGGATGAGACGATAATCTAAGGTCCCCTCTGCCTGTTTGAGTGGACAATAGCAGTATTCAAAGAAAGAGTGTTTCTCCTGGTCTCCTGACCAACAAACTTCTTGATAAAATTGATCATTCACTTCACGGCTGTTTCCGGGGATTGTCTGCCATGTTAACAGAACAGACCATCACCACTCTTTATAGTAACTCCTTTGAAGAGCTTTGAGACGTCTCCTGGCATGAAAGGCACTGTATCAAATGCAAGGATTGGTATTATTATAATAATAATACTTGCATTTGATGTAGCACCTTATTACATCTTCAAGAGGTCTCAATGCGATTTAATTATCATTATTATTAACTGTTTCTTGTAATGTCATACCTTCATATCTCCATAGACTTCAGAACGATCAAGCATTAGCGTGATGTAATACAGGTTGTCAAACGCTGCCTGCCAGGGTATGTACTCAATCTCAGCGGTTAGGTATTTGGTGGTGTTCAGCGCATCTGTTGTTTTTCGATAATCTGCCCTGTTGTGGAAAAAAAGCACCATTAGCTGTTTGTGCAGAATATGGAAATACAACCAGTGATATCCATTGTTCCCATCAATAAAACTATCTGGTTTATGTTGGAGCAGTGCTAACACAACTGCACCCTGTTACAGCAGAAGGTAAGATGAGATAATATACTTAAATAGTGCTGGGGGATGGAGAACGGAGCACTTTTCTATTATCAGCATTAAACCTCGATAAGGAATGGTTTACAATCTTTGTCAATAAAACCTCAATATTCTAATTGCAGTTGTCGGGATGAAGAGAATTACCAACAACACCGGCCATAAAAATATGATAAAAGTTTCAATGTCCAAAAAAAAATTAATGTTTACACATCCTATTGCCTTCTGCTTCTGCTTCGTTGGCTTTTCATGGTGGGATCAGAGACATCCCTTAGCTCCCATATAATAGGTGTCATTTGTAAATCAACTTACCTGGCCAGATTGAAGGAGTCAGCAATTATCTGAGCTCGGTTGATTATCGGAATGACCTGTGAAACAAGAATTAATATATGGATTATGTAGCAACGTCTGCCATATCTAGAGTATGTCTCGTGTGTGCCTCATTTCAATATCTGCAGCCACTGCTCTCGAGAGGAAGCAGGGCAAGTTTTCTTACTCCACACAGAGCCTAATAATAATCCCTCCAAAACCAAAACCAATAATAAATTGGTCATTTTCAATCTACGACTGTTTGTGGGACATTGCTGTGTGCAATTGGCCGCTGCGTTCGCCCACAAATATACAGTCAATTCACTTTACAGTGTGTTCTGTGAAGCGCTTTGGGACGTCCTCCCGACGTGAAAAGCGCTATATCAAATGCAAGGATTATTATTATTATTATTATATGGCACTTCCAATCCAGTCAGCATCAAGATGAAGCCTGCAGTCCAAAATTCTTCGTTGACTTAGCCTTAAGACCATTCTCTTAAATAATAATAATAATCCTTGCATTTGATATTGCACCTTACCACATCTTCGAGGCTCAAAGCTCTTCACAGAGTATACTGTAAAGTGACTGTATATTTCATGGGCGAAAAGTGACAGCCAATTGTACACAACAAATTAACTATGGAGTGGTCTATTTCACAAAATTAGAGGATAAGAAATTAAATTGGGTGGAATTTGGGGAAATTATTTACATTCGTGTTGAATTTGTAAAGTTTTTTGAAAAATCGTTTTCCAAATGAATAGAAATTCATTAAAGGAAGTGAACATTGCATGGGTTTTCCGGTCAGAATTGGCAGTTAAGAAAATCATGTGATAGCAATCGAAACAAGCTGCAGATAACACTCACTTTGTGATCTGTTTCCAGTTGAGACAAAAGGTTTTTCCAGTTGTTTTCATCATAGTTCACTCTGTAGTATCCCGTAACATTAATGTTAGCCAGGATCCATTGATTCCCAGTGACTTTCATTTCTTGGGAAGTCTCTATTGTGGATGAAAACAAAGAAACATATAAATCATGTAATAACAATAACATGAAGTATACTTGGTATGCTTGGGAAGTCTTGACCCCCAGTTTAATTAAAACAAGTCCAAACACATTGCCTCCCAAACAGCTCCCAATCGTATTGTGATTCTCTAGTTATGTACACATACACATCATGCAAGATATTACAAGAAGTGAGTGTTATGTTTATGTATTTTGATAGGTGTTTAGCTACCCCGTGTGAGGGTTCTATATAAATGTAAGCTGTTGTTTTGGGAGCTTCTCGCTGAGGTAGGTGCAAACACCCAGTATCCATACCTGTTTTCTTATTCAACCAAAGCTCATTCACGTCACTGCCACCTTGCTTCATATATGTAATTGGCACAATCCAAACATAACTGAAAACATATAGAAAGCAGAATAGATGTGAAGAACATCGCTGGGATTCGGCTGGGTTTATCTCTGTGCAATCCTTCAGGTAGTACAGCTGAAATATCAACAACCCTATCGCTCACCATAAAAATCATTGTTTCTTAAGAATCATTGCACTATGTCTCCAATTGTTGACCAAGAGGATGTAGTTGTAATATCTTGCAACGATAAGATAATGAGGTCAAGTGAACCCATGACAGAATCCACACACCAGGGATGAGATTCGGTAAGACCAATGGTCTGACAAAGACTTACCCAAACTCTGAGGGTCGTGTCACAGTCGAGTTTGGATCAAGAAGGAAATGGTTCTGACTGATTTCTCCAGTCTGACTGTTTATCTTTACAACTGGAAATCCCATCTGTAACGTCCACCTGCTCATTATATCTGTCACCGAAGCAGGTAATGAGACGCTCGATGATTCAACAGCCTAAGCAAGGAAGACTGAATTCAGTTAACAACAACAAGTTGAATTTATATATTGCCCTTCACGCAGGGCAGCATCTCGCAGCGCTGAAAAGTGGCAGAGCCCGACTTGGAGCAACTTTATTGCTTTGGAAGCTTTAAAGTTATTTTTTTTTCTTCCAAAGACAATTGTAGCAAAACACATTGATCCAGGTGAAATGAGTTGAAGGGTTTCTGCAAGGGAATCTGTGCTGTGATTGAATGGATTTTGTTCATCTGATTTCACATCATGCTATGCAGTGACATACCTTCTGCAAGTGCTGAAAGAGGTCGTTGTAGACAGTGTTGCTGAACGAAAACTCTGTGAGGTAGCTCTGTGAATGAAGCGCAAAGAGTTGAATCCAAACATTTCGGCCATCAATTGAAATATTTCAACTGAGTTAATGTATCTTCAAATACAATTCAACCTTACATTGAGGCCTTTCAAGAAGACTTCTTCTGAGAGAAAGCTGGAAAGCATCCTCAGCACAGATGCGCCCTGCAATGAAAGTCAACCAACAGCATGGTAGAATTAAGCGTCTTTAGTGCTACGAGCAAAAGTGTAACATCGGGTAAGTTCAACTATAAATTGAGCATCTCCTCCTTGCCCCCTCCCTTGTCTCCTTCAAGACCTTCCTCTTCGACCGTGCCTTCGACAGTGTCATCCTCCCACCTCCACTCCACTTGCCTTCAGCCCATCTTGATTCCAACCCCTAGCTTGAATGCAAACCTTTCGCTGTCCAGCGCCTTGGGATGTCCTCCCGACATTAATAATAATAATCCTTGTATTTGAAATAGTGCGTTATCACATCATCTCGAGACGTCTCAAATTGCTTCACAGAATACATGCATTGCAAGAATATAGTGAAAGGCGCTGTACAAATGCAATTTGTTGCTGTTGTTTTAAGAAGGGTAAAGAAAGTTATACTCTTACCTTGCTGTATGAGATAGAGTCAAAGAGTTCGTTGATTTCTGAGGGCGAATTAATCTCGCTCTCCTTCGACGAGAGAGGGTGAGATGAGGCTAACGCATCGATCGCAAACACTTTGTACACATCCGACAGCACGATTAAATCTTTCTGCAAAAAACAAAAGAAAAGGATGGTGTGTGTGTGGAAGTTAACAAGTGCAGATTGTTGTGTCCAATCAAAGGATTACAGTGCAATTGTGATCTTTTTGACTGCAACTTTGGTTCACCCTCCTAAACCATCCCTTCTGATCCCAACCCCCAGCTCGGGTCCAAATCCCTGTCTGTCCAGCGCCAAGGGACATCCTCCTGACGTGAAAGACGCTATACAAGTATAATTTGTTGTTGTTCAAATCCAATGTTGGTGAGACCTTCCTGGCCCAAAGACCTGCAGTTTATCTACAGAAACAGCCACTACATTGCACACAAGTTCTCTGCATATTTCAATGTGATGAGGCTCTGTGAGCAAATGCAGATGTTTTAATGCAACGTTGTTTCAAGAAATAAGGTGAATGTCATTACAGTTATTTTGTCCCGTGAACGGCTTCTTAAAAGCTTTCTGTCTCGGACTCACTTACCAAGTGCCAAGTTTGCTCAGCGTGATCAGCGCCCAGGTATTCCACGTAAGAGGCAAATCCTTCATTCAGCCATAGGTCATTCCACCATTTGATAGTCACCAAGTTTCCAAACCACTGAGAGCAAGGAGCATAGAATCATAGAAGGTTACACGACAGGAACACGCCATTCACCCCAACAAGCTTGTGGCTTTTATGGCCACGACTGCCATCGAATAGCATCGCACTCTCCCACTCACACCCATTTCCCTTAAATATCCCCTTTTTTCTCAAGCATTAACTTGAATCGGTTTTGAAAGAATCCACAAGATTATCTGTGAGAAGCCCTTTGAGACGTCCTAAGGACTAATATGCTCAGGTGGGGGGGGGCGCGGGGGGTTTCTTCTTGATGGCCTTGGGGGCCACATCCGGCCCACGAGCCATAGGTTGGTCAGCACTGCTGAACACAATACTCCCAACTGTGGCTTAATCAAAGTCTTGCACAAGTTTTGTATCAAATGCCTTTTGAAATAACCCCGAAGGCATATAGTACACAAGAAGTCTTATGCTCTGTCCAATTACTGTCACACAAGAACGACATTGTTTATACCTGATGGGCCAGTTCATGAGCTATCACTTTCACAACTCTCTCCTTGTTTCCATTAGATGACAGTTTCGGATCATACAAAAGAGCAGTCTCACGGTAGGTAACAAGGCCCCAGTTTTCCATCGCTCCAGCGTTGAAGTCGGGAAGAGCAATCTGATCTGTTTGTAGGATTAGAAACAGAAGATGCCATATTTATAATTTATATTGATAATTAATACAGAAATATGCAATATTGTTCTCGATTGAAGATTGAAGTCTATTAATTCTTCTTTAGGCATGGTGTGCATTGCATTGCATTGCGATAATCCTTTAACAATCCTTGCATTTGATATCACGTCAAAATGCCCAAAGTGTTTCACATGCCATTTCTCTATGTGTATTTGCATACACATGCAGCAGCTATTTTATTTACCATAAGGTCCCTCAAATAGCCGTGAAATTAATGATCAATTGCATTCCGGATTGTTGGCTATGGCAGTGATATAAAATCCCCCTTTTTTTTCAAATAGATCTTTACTGTCCGCCTGAACAGGCAGACTGACAGCCCCCTACTGACAATGTCCAATTACTTAATCTACGATAAACTAGAAACAAAACAGAGATCTCATTTTGTGGTATTTCCTAAATGGGGGTCCGACACATGCGGAAACCCACCTCCCTTGCTTAAGAGCATCCAAACCAAACTGAGAAGTCCATGCATCCCACCTACACATGGCAATTCCAGAGATAGATTATTGCAATGGAGTGACACATCCTGTTTACCTAATTCCGGTAACCAGAGACACACCACAATGACAACAGCAGCAGTTTTATCTTAATATGGCGTCTTTCATATAAATGTAAAACTGCTGTTATCGGAGGACATTTCAAAGCACCTTCACAGAACCAGCTGACCTGCAGGTGCTCTGCTCTGATCAGGAGCGGAATCCCTTTAAAGAAATACTTATATTTTTAACCTCATACGAACTGGGAACACACAGTTTGAAAGAAGTTAGTTACCTGACTTTGGCAGTGGGTAGGCTACGTTGTAATAGGATTCAAAAAACTTCAGGATTTTCCCAGTCACTTCCAACGCATAATTTCCTTGTCCTTCATTAATGGCTTGCCTACGTGCCCAAATACTGAACTTAAAAATAAAATGAAATTATTCAGAACACATTTATAGATTCAACTCATTCTGTTTTGCACAATAGCCTCCCTGTTTTCTGTAGGGAGAAAAGGTTAGCGTCTGGATTTAGAATGAAAATTGCAGGGAATAAACTGTAATCATCTCTGCACAGAAATTATTATTCCATGCAATGCGACTATCTTTCCATAAATGGAAGGTTAGTGTCATTGTAAAGAGGATATGTTCTCTTGTCTGCATGAAATCCATATAGAATAATAACCATAATCGTCGCATTTGATATAGCGCCTTATCACATCATCACGTCTCAAAGCACTTCACAAAATATACCATAAAGTGAATTGAAAGTTTATTTTGTGAGTGAAACTCGGCAGCCAATTGCGCACAGCAGTGTCCCACAAACAGTCATGACTTGATTGACCAAATTATTATTATTTATTTTATTGCTTTTTTTGAAGGGATTATTACTCTTGGAAAGCGATCCGTCAGTCAATTAACAACCAGCTTCCTCCTTATTGCTAGATAAACGGCAAATACCCATTCCCCTTTTAGGAATGTGATTGGGTCTAATTTAGTTTAATGGGGGGTGAGTGGGGCCTAATCCTGATTGCCAAATTTAAAAAATCCCTTCGCTGAATAAATATTATTATCCCAATTGAAGAAACATTCGAGATGCTTTGCTATCTCTGTAGGAAGGAACATCATTCTCCTATTGTGGTTTCAACTACATTCTCTACATAATAATAATAATAATTCTTGCAAAATAGAGACTTTATTATCTCTGTATGTAATCCACATTGCTACAGTATCTCTAAACGGAAGGAACATTACTCAGAGTTTAGGGAATCCTTCACAAAAGATGAATGCTGTACAGTAAAAAGGAATAATTCTGTTTGTGATTAGAAGAAGTGGTGCCAGCTCTATGATTGTGCAGTTTGTTCTAATTATTCAGCTGAACGTATGATTTATCTGAGTTCTCATGGCATTTAGTAAGGTATGTGTCTGTCTCATGGATCGAGCAAAGGCATTGAGAGTGGGATGTGTTTCACATATAGGATGAAGGGTGGAATGTGTCTCACGCTTGGGATTCAGTCCAGGATAGGTGCGTGAGTCCATGCAAAAGAAAAATATTTAAACTAAAAAAAATTTAGTCTGCATCAGTGTTTAGACTCAAGACATTTCAGCCTCTTACCGAAGTTCCATTTAGTTCTTCGTCAATGGAAATGAAGTCAGAAACAATGAACGCCAATAGGTAGCTGGACATTTTTGGTGTTGTTTTAAAGTCAGTAACATTCCAATCGACGCCATCCTGAGTTATAATATTTGTTCCTACAGAAACATTACAATTAGTTTCAATTATTGTATAAAACGTTTTAACATAGAACAGTTTGCTGGAGACCATTTGACATTATGGTATTTTATTTTCTCTCCATTGCTTTCCCACCCCTCAAGTAGATGCCTCGGGCCACAGGTTTCTCAATGTTTTGTTTCCATTAATGGCTCCATCTGACCATCTATCGGCAATAATATTCATAATAATCCTTGCATTCAATATAGCACCTTCTCACGTGGATTGAGTATTGTTTTTGAAGGGATTATTGACCCCCGGAGAGCAATCCGCCAATCGACTAACAACCGGGTTCCTACTTGCTGCTAGGCAAACAGAGGAGTGTGGAGTAAGGAAACCTGCCTAAAGTTTAGCCCCGCCCGGGAATGGAACCGAGGTCCTCTTGCTTGCAAGCCGAGTGCATTAACCACTGAGCTACTGGACTCCACAAGCTTTTGTCTATTCTGAATATGGTTCAGACTGTTTTGATACTTTATGCTAACAGGAGAAATCCCATTGCGAACAATCACTATTTTAGTGACAAGCATATGATATACACCCAATACCACCACAGCAGCTCCTAGTATTTTGTGTGAATAAGTTGCGCAGGATCCAAACGGAGAGATTCAGAAGCTCGGAAACATTGCTAGTAATTTTTTAAACTGTTAAACCCTGCAGATATATAACATCTGACCCCTATCAGTCAGTCAATGAAACCTCTGGAATGTACTTACTGATTGCTGGCATGTTGGACAATGCTTTGTGCTTTGGTTTGTGGACTAGTGTTATGCTGAAGTTGGCTTTCATGGCCGGCTCATCAAAGCAAGGAAACGCTTTCCTGGCATCAGTTGGTTGCATCTGAGTCGTTGCAATAATACTTTTAAAAAAATCAACAGATTAGAGGAAAGGCGAATGAAGTGGTCAAAATATGCAGCACATCCATCATGAGCCTCTCAATGTTGTGTTTCTTCCAGCATTGACATAACATTAGTTGTGGATAGGGACTCCAGCTGCAGGCCCCCATCAGTCATTACGTGACTAGTTACTAAGACTTGTCCAATTATTTCCTCTCTCAGTGTCTCCTCTTCCTGATCCAAGGCATGAATGGTGTCTGCAAAGGTCACTTTGGCTCAGTTGGTTGCACTCTTACCCCTGGGTCAGAAGGATAGAGCCCCTCAACTCATATAACCCAGGCTGACAATCCAGCATATTACAGAAGCACTGAGGGATGATGGAGAGGGTGAGGGTTGGTGGGGAACAGCTGCATTGCTGCAGCAGCCTTCCTTTCGATATGATAATCCTCCTCCATCTATTCAGATCAGTGGTGGCCAACCTTTAAGGTTGGGCCAACAAAATAAATGTTCTTCGATGAATAGTTCTTCATTGATGCCACAAATTCATGATTTATGCCAGAAATCAAGAAATATTTAATCGAGAAAAACCTGAAAACACACTACTAATCCAGCAAATGTTTTTTTTTTGGGGTGGGGGGGGAGGCCAGTCTTCTTGACGGCCCGCAGGCCACTGGTTGGCTAAATGCTAAATGCTAAAGGGACCCACAGCACCATTGCAAAGAAGTGCAGTGAAGTTCTCCCAGTAGCACTGGCCAACATTCCTCCCCCATCCTAACCCATCAGGATACGTGATTCATGTCACCATTGTTCACGGAGCTAAACCTGGTATAGATTAACTGTAGCTTTTGCCCAAATTTACAGCATCACTACACTTCGAAACAACTCATTCTGTGGAGCGTTTTAAAACATTTTGACGTAAATCACTACATCAAATGCAAGTTTTTTTTAATATGTACATACACTATACAAAGGGGCTGAGGTGGCCGAGACACAATCCCACATAGAATTGTGTTACTCGGTATTGGAAGAGACACAAAGTGTTCAGTGGCAACGGTGTAAAAAACTGTTGAGGTAATAGCAACAACTGTTTTTCTCTCTCTGTCATTTCAGATAACTTTCTTGATTTCATTAGTGAAAACTGTTTTGTTTTATGTCGTTAAAATAAATAGAATTCTCTACACTGTTTCTTTTTTTAAAAATTTGTGGCGTTGCCTTAATTTATTGGTAAAGACTGGATTGCAGATTAGCCAAAAAATATTGACCTCAATTTCTAAATAAAAGAAGCCCACAATCCCTGTGTTATAGATGTCATGATACAGTCCTGTTGATAAATTACTGGATTCTGGTATTGCAACATGACTTTAATGAAAGCAATTAATTGTTTGCACTGCAATAAGCCATTGCAACATCATAAATAGGTGATTTATCTCTGTCTTCTAACTAGAAAGTGGGTTGGCTTTACTTGGATGCATATAACATTAAGAATGATAATCATAATCCTTGCATTTGATATAGCGCCTTATCACACCTTGAACATATTCGAGACTGAGATAGATATGTTTCGTGTTGCACATGTACTTTGTGGGCGAAAGGCGGCAGCCAATTGCGCCCAGCGGCGTCCCACAAACAGCCGTGGATTGAGCGGCCAAGTTATATTATTTTAAATGCTTTCCTTTTTTTTTTTGGAGGGATTATTAACGCCCAGAAATGCGATCCGCCAATCGACTCACAACCGGGTTCCTGCTTACTGCCGGGTAACGAGAGGCGCGCGGAGTAAGGAAACTTACCTGTAACAATAATAACAATAATAACAATAATAATAATAATAATCCTTGCATTCGATACAGCTATGGTTTCGCCCTAATATTATAACACGATATCAATATCACGTCGTTAACGCACTCCACCAATAGGCGGACAAAGAAACGAACGCGATATTTCCTACAAAGAAACGAGCGCAACGACAGGAACGCCGCCGCCGCTGCTCGCGGGCGCGGGCGCGGACGCGGACGCGGGCGCGGACCCCGTAAAAGCAAATCACGGTAACATATCTACCATCAAATTATATCACATTACATTATCTTATACGACTATAAAAGAGAGTGAGAGAGAGAGAGAGAGAGAGGGGGAGTGGGAGTGGGGAGTGGGAGTGGGGACCACACTCACCTGACGTTACCGTTTTCATCGATGTATTGGCTCCTGTAAAACCCCGTCAGGTCATCGGCCAATTTCCCTTCGAAAACCGTGTGCAGAGAGTACCGGCGATCCGCCTTCAGGAGGTCGTCCAACTCGATCACCAGGAACTGGGTCTGGGTCTCCAGCCACGACCTCCGGATACCCGGAGCAGAAGCGGAGTCGAGCGCCCGCAACTCGGCGTGGAAGCCCCCGGACGCGGTGTAGCTCAGCTCGTGGCTGTGGATGAGGATCAAGTCGGTGCTCCGGACGCAGTCGAAGTAGGCGGTGGAGTTACCGGTGAAGAAGTAGTCTTTCTCGCTGTCTCTCTCCAAACGGGGCCACAGGAAGACCTCGTAGTGACTGGGCACCAGGGCGTCCGGTAACCGGTACCTGTTCCAGGGGTTGGACGGGGCTGCGGTGCTGTGGTGGTTGACGGTGGGCGCAGCGGAGCTTCCCTCCGAGGGCAGTGGCTCTCCGCCGCTCCGGTCCATCTCTCGGGCGTAGACCACAGCCAACGCGACGATCACAGCGATGGCCGAGGCGGCCAAGAGGATGCCCACCACGGCCAGAGTCCGGGAGATGTAGAACCCTTTCCCCATTGCTGTCTGGAGCTCAACTCACTCACTCACTCACTCACTCACTCACTCACTCACTCACTCACTCACTCACTCACTCACTCACTCACTCACTCACTAACTCACTCACTCACTCACTCACTCACTCACTCACTCACTCACTCACTAACTCACTAACTCACTCACTTACTTACTTACTTACTTACTTACTTACTTACTCACTCACTCACTCACTCACTCACTCACTAACTCACTAACTAACTGACTAACTCACTCACTCACTCACTCACTCACTCACTCACTCACTAACTAACTAACTGACTAACTCACTCACTCACTCACTGGAGCCCTGCAAGTGAGAATGCACCCGAGATCCGAGTCAGGCTTTATATTAACACCCCCCACCCACCCACCCACCCCCACTCACACCCCCACCCACTCACCCACCCACTCACACCCCCACCCACTCACTCACCTCGTAAACTTCTTACTTGTCGACGAGTTAATGGGTTTAAACATTAACCAACTTGGAGCTCTCCGTTGGGTCGAGTGTCCTTCGTTGGGTTTGTAATGCGGTTGATTTCCAAAGTCCTGGTACCGTATCTACTACGAGACTCGGAGAAGGAGAGAGGGAGAGAGAGAGGGAGAGAGGGAGGGAGGGAGGAGAGAGAGAGAGAGAGAGAAATTGCTCCCTCCTTTTCAACGAATAGTGGTAGAAAAAAAGTCATTCAAGAAAAGACTCGACGTCATGGGTTTTCTAACTTGGCTCTCAATTCAGACACTGTTTGGCCCCCAAAGAAATAGCTGATCCGCACTGGATAAGTGTGTGTGTTGCAGTAAAATTGTGAAACCAGGCATTTTGCGAAGGTATAAAAAGTTGAATCGAAGGATCGAAGGCGAGCAGTGTCTTTTACGATCAAAATAGCTCGAATGAGTTCATAAAACCAATCGATTTTGCACGAGTCGGTGCTTCGCGGGCATATCCCACTTTACAGTAGATCCTGCGAAGCGCTTAGAGAGGTCTCAACGATGGGATAAGGCGCTCCATCGGATGTAAGAATTATTATTACAGAAACTTCAAGTTCTGGCGGCAGGATCACTTACTAAGATAGAAGTACAGATCTTAAAATAATAATAATAATAACCCTTGCAGTTGATATAGCACCTTATCACGTCTTCGAAATGTCTGGAAGCGCCTCACACAATATACTGCAAAGTGCACTTTATATATTGTATTCAGTTGTGTGAGATTCGGTTGGAGACCACAGTTGAAAATCGCACATGTGAAGCAATTTTAGGTGGTGCATTTCTCAAGAAGGTGGAGCTATGAAGGAAAAGTGTCTCAGTTCATTTGGCAAGTAGTGTACGTTGCTCTGAGGTTTACTATTACCAAATGGATCGATTTCAAAACCCTCACACTCCTCTTCAGATTCCTTTATGCCCTGGCACCTCCCCACCTCTTCAACCTGCTTACTCCCCAACCCCCTGTCTGTTCCCCCATTCGACTGACTCCGGCCTCCTGCTTGTCCCTTGTGCCCTCCGTTCCACTACCGGTGACAGCGCTTTCAGTCACTTCGACCCTAAAACTCTTGAATACTCTCCCTAAATCCCTCCACCTCCCATCTCCTTCCCCATCTTTAGGTTGCACCTGAAGACCTTCCCCTTCAACCGTGCTTACAGTCACCTCCCCCCGGCTCGGCGTCATGCTCCACCACTGTCAAATGCCCTTGGACACTGCCCTGCGTGAGGGGTGCTGTATAAATGCAAGTTGTTGTTGTTGAGGAGGAAGGGTAAGGGAATCTACTGAGCATCAGTCACGGTCTAGAAGAGAAAAGACAGAGAGTTTTGTTGTGATTTCTTTTTGGTCAGCCGAGTGTTTGACACATGGGAAAACCCATCATAGTGCGTAAGGGTATCCAAAAAATAGAGTTCCACATATATATATCCTCTCTATGTAGAAATGTCTGTTGTCAGGAATGGAAAGTGCACTCTCTCCCTGGAGGAGTGCTCCACTATTTCACCTAATTCCAAAGAGTATTAAGTGCAGGTTGGCAAGAGCCAAGGCTTGGCAAACCAAGACTGTTGGAGTTTAACCAGCTACATTCACAAAGCTTGCCATTGAGAGCACTATCTGGCAAGCTTCTCACTCTTTTCCAGCTAGAACACACCCTACTCTTAGGGCATTGACTTGCAGGGTTAAATGTTGTTGTAATGAAGTCATACTCCAAGAATATTAATTTACTTTTTATGTTCAGGTCATCAACTGTGGCTTTTCAGCTTTGATTTCTGTCTTGATTTCAGATTTCCCACACTGACAGACTTTTCTTTTATTTCTAATTTGTGGTGGGAAGGTGTCTGTCATGATTATTTGTCATAAACTTTGTTTCAGCTTAAAAACAAGTTATGTATTATTTTGCTGCAAATATATAACATCTGCCTTGGCTTGAACAGACTGTAACTGTCAGTCTGAGTCAAGAGTTACTTTACACAAAAGAATTCTCCAGTGATATGGAACTCACAAGGTCAAAGCAAATTTTTAGTCACAAACACATTTGGAATTGTTTGCAGATAATCCGGCAGATTAATGTTGTTTCGCAACAGAGACTGTACCAAAAGGAGGGTCCGAGAATCCAACAAAAGAATGAACACTAAGGTTATTTTTGCCTTTTTTTTCTCTGACAGTCTTAATCATAATAATCATTGCATTTGATACAGGGCCTTGTTATGTTCTCGAGACTGCTCAAAGGGCTTCACAGGATATACTGTAAAGTGGATTGACTGTACTTTGTGGGCAAAACGTGGCAGCCAATTATACACAGCAGGGTTCTACAAACAGTTGTGAATTGAGTGATCAAAATGATTATTATTATTTTTTTGCAAGGGTTTATTACCCCTGGAAAACAATCCACCAATTGACTAACAACAGGGTTCCTACTTACTGCTAAGTAAACGGAGGCATGTGGAGTAAGGAAACTTGCCTAAGGTTTTGCCCTGTCCGGGAATAGAACCCAGGTCCTCCAGCTAGCGAGGTAAGTGCTCTAATCAATACATTGGGGAACTCCAGCATTTAGAGTTTCCTCTCCATATACAAGTTTCTAAACTCAACAGTAAGTGCTTTGAGACATCGCAAGGACGTGATAAGGTGCTATTCCAAATGCAAGGCTTGTTATTTATTACTCCTTTACAACAATGCTTTAACCTCCGTTTACCTCTTTGATATCTCCAAGTTGGAGACTTGCCAGAAACTTGCTCCTTTGGGAGAAACTCAACAAACTATTAGTTTTATTAAAGTGATTTCAGGAAAAATAAATTCCTAAATAATTAAAATCATTTAAATGATTGATTCGTGTTTATTCTTGTACTGCTCATTCTTGCGATAGTTACCAAGAATAAACAAATCATACATTCTTTTTCTAAGGTTGATCATTTGGTGCACAGTATTTTGTGCAAAACTAAGGCAACATCTGAAATATATTGGAATTCCACTCCCATGGGCTAAATAAATGATCCTATCTGCTATTCCAGTTTACACTTGCACAATTATCTTCTTATTTCTCGTGTTTAATCGTTTAATCTCCTTGGCCAGATCTTTAATTTTGAGACTTATGTTTGAATATAATATCATAGTAATAACAATCCTTGCATTTGATATAGCGCCTTACCACTTCGTCAAGACGCCTCAAAGCACTTCACAAGATGTACTGTAAAGTGAATTGATGTGCATTTTGTGGTACACATTTGATCAAGCACAAAGGGTGAATGCACTCCACTACAGGTAGGGTCTAGACTTGGGAGACATGTCTTCTTAACTTTCCCTCACAAAAAAATCCCCTCTGTTGCCTCTTTCTTCTCAGAGCATCCCTTCTTTGTGAGATCTGCCCTCTCCGTTTTCCTCAGCTGTGGATTTGGCCCCAGTTCCTTTCATAAGGTTGTACAATTTATGACGACAGCAAATATCATTGTTTATCGATAGCACATTCCTAATATGATAGGTTTCAAGATACAATCTGCCATAAAGTTCACCTGACCATGACAACACACAAATAAAAGCTAATGAGGTTATAACAAGGCAATATCCAGTACGCATCAGCTTTTAATTTGTCTATTTTTTAAATTCAACCCCTGGAACCAGAAAGTGTTGATTCCTTCAAACCAAATTTCTTTTAGATAATAATATTTGAGGATACATTATATGAGTAATTTGAGTCATAACATATAGTAAGTGTAGTATGGCTTGGAAGAATTAGGCAACTGTGGATCTAAGGTTTCCTAAGCTCTCCGCTCTGTTGTAGACTAATCCATGCAGGAATCATTATTAGCAACATCTCCATTATTGTGCCATTCGACCACCAGAATGGTAGAAAGTGAACTAAATAGACCTTGATCTTTTTTCTTCTAACAATTCCTATGTTCTTATGTTCCTTTGTCACCCTACTACAGGTGCTGATTTAATAATAATAACCCTTGGATGTGATATAGCTCCCTTTGTGCCTCAGAACACTTCATATGATTTACTGTAAAGTGCAGGACTGTGCATTTTTGAAGGTGAATGTGCAGCCAATTTGTGCACAGCAAAGTCTCACGAACAGCCACAAAGTGAACAATTCATTTTATCTGAGGGATCGTTGGCCAAGACACAGGGAGAAACTCCTTTCTTTTTCCCAGTAGTGTTTTGCCAAGTGACCATCCTCCACGAAGCAGTGAACGGACTGTTCTACCACAGAGAGCATTCCTGAGACCTGAAATTTCTTACACGTCACCTTAGCTTTAAGACAATTGCCTTAAAATTGTGCAGAATTTTGGAAAATATTCTAGATCACTTCACTTAGAAGCTAGTTTAGAAATGACACACACACAACCTCTAACAGAGGTCTCATATACAACAATACCTTGCATTTGTCTAGTGCTCCTCAGCTAGGGTAGCATCCCACAGCACTTGACAGTGGCGGAGCACAACACCGAGCCAGAGGGAGGTGGGAGGTGACCCTAGGCAAGGTCAAAGAGGAAGGTCTTCAGGCACGAAGATGGGAAGGAGAGCGTAAGGCATAGAGATTGAGGGAGAATTTTCCAGT